CTTGCCCTAAAGTTTGGCACGTTACTTCTGGGACACCCTGTATATAATAGCAAATAATATTGTAAAGAAAATTCAACAGTTCTACATACATGTATATTGTTTATATAATAGCACTCACAGTCATCGACTAGCTATTAACGTGCTCGGACGTGTATACAAGTGCTATCGGCTGTGTGAATCCAATAAACAAAACAAGCTAAAAACCCTAGTGCTTCTCAACTCAGTGCTTAATCTTTTCCTTGTTACGCTACTAAACAAGTTCAGTGTACTATCAAAAACCGTTGTGCCTACAAAAATGCCACCAACACCTGATCCGCCGGACAAAACAACAAACCGTTTCTCAATACTAGGTGAAATGGACACATACAACACATACACACGTCCCTACACTTCAACAAAAACTAACAACACAAAGCCAACCAAAATAGGGTGAATTCCAAAACGTCAAAATACAAATCATCAGTCTCTTTTATTTCTAGACCTCAATAGATTTTAATGCCAAATGCGCGCAACCACGGTTAGATGCTAGTTTTCTACTAGGTTGCGCAAGTTAGGCTTGTATTTTGACGTTTTGGAACGCACCCATACCTAACAATATCGTCAACCAACGGACAATTAAATAAACTCTTTCTTTTTATAATAAAAAAGGGTATTGATGCGATATCAACCCAAATAGACAGCATTCAACAGCTGAAAGACGGTTCACTACTGGTTTTGGCACGCAATTCTAAAGTAGCTGAAAAATTTATAAAAACGAAATCGCGTCTAAATATTTACCCTATCACGGTCAAGCTTCAAGACAACCTCAATACGGTGAAACGTATAATATACGCCCCATGTCTCAACTTTGTAAAAGAAGAAACTGTCCAAGAGCTGAAGAGTCAGGCAGTGACGAGTATTTACAAATTTACCCGTACATTCGACGGTAAAACAACCCCCACCGGAAAAATTGTTGTCAACTTGGACCTATATCACCTTCCAAAATCGTTAGACGTGGCTTGGTACAAAGTAAAAGTGTCGCCCTACTACCCTAACCCTATGCGTTGCAGAAATTGCCAACTCCAAGTCATACCAAAACCAGATGCACTAATCCAAGCACCTGTGAAGGATGCAATCTGCCGTCCCACTCTCCAGTTGAATGCACACGCAAACAATGTGCAAATTGTGGCGAAAATCACTCCTCCTCTGACAAAGACTCCCCCAGGTACCAGCAATCAAGACATTTTAAAAATTAAAACAATAGAAAAATGCTCTATGGGGGAAGCGCTCCGAAAATATAATGAAAAACACACCCATACACAATAACCACAAATTTCATACTCCAACATCACCAACCCAACTTTTAACAAACCAAGCACAACAACTACACCAAATACATCAACATCTGGAACATACAAGCGCCCAGCTTCGCCAACAAAAGCTAACATAACTAAAGTAGCAAAAACTCAAACGCATATTAACAAAACCATAACCGACAACAACTCTACCCCCAAAAATCCATCCACTCAATTTACAAACGAAAATGTAAACTCAAATAAGAAAAAACTACCAACAACTAATCCTTCTCATGAAGACTCGTATCCCCACTCTAGAAAAATGCAAACGACTTCACAAACAAATACTACAGCATCTCCGCTCAGTCAAATAAAGAATTGACATGAAAAAAACTAGTCAATTGTGTTTACTCATCACTTGCGTAAAACTAACTGTAAATTAAAAGTAGGTATACACATTCATAGGGCATGTTGTCGTTGTTAGTTTCGCGTATCTACTTTTTGTAACTTCTACGTACTCCTCAAAATGTGTGCGGCGAAGTGTGAGCTTTCGGAGAAAATTTTGTGCAAAAAGCATGAAAAAGTATGTGTGAACGAGGAAACATACCTCGAAGCAGCCTTTAAGCAGTTTCGGGGCGCTGAGATTTATAATGCAACGAAGACAAATGGAGTCCAAGATGCGTCAAGTTAAAAATACTGGACAATTTCCTTGTTTTTTGTTATTTTTTTGCCCTAATAAGTACTTGGTGTGGCAAGCCATCTGCCAGTGTGACACGAGAGCAAAAACTCATGACCACAGGCTCCACAAATCAAGAAATTTGTATGAAGGAGTGTTTACAATATCGTTTGCTGTCGTTCATAAACCAACATGATGGTGCATTTACATGGTATGAAGCCATATGAACTGTTGATACGCTAAAATAGAGGGACTACATGTTCTAATGAGGAATTCAATGATATCGAGTGGGATGCATATAATACATTTTTTCATATGAAAAGTTATGGGGAGATACTGTAAACATACTGTTGTGATACTGTTAAGCATATGAAATTATAGCAAGTTCATACATCTTCCCATAAAAAGTTTAACAGATGCAGAGATACCAAGGAAGGTTTTTCCCATTTTGATGCCTTTTTAATATAAAAACCCACCGAAAAGGAGGAAAGCGGCAACTCCGCCATTCACATACATGTCAAAAGTATGAATTTTAAAAATTAAAAACAATAAACAAACAAATTCAAAACAAAGAAATTCTTTGTACTAGAACTTTTTCAATAGAAGCGACTCACGTATAGTGGACAATCAAAATACAAAGCACTATGATAACAAACTTAAAAACAAGACATTACACAACATTTTAATGAGCTTTATATCACATTTAAGTAAAAATAAGCCTATATTTTCCAAGCTGGCAAATAAATGAAAATGTGTATTTTTTGTTTTTTACACAAAGACTTGCCAAAAATACATATAAGTCAAAATTATAGAAGGCATGTATACTTCTCCCTTTCATTTTTTCATACAGTTTATGCTTCTTTCTGGCTTTTACAAAATGCAGGGATACCGCACTTATTTCGGTACAATATGATCGTAATGTATTTTCAATTTGAAATCAAAGAAAAACATGCCACGAAAATGTTTGCGATTTTAGAACAATTAGTGTATATTTGCAAACTACTGCAAACAATGGAGTGTCATATCTTAACAGGTTCAGAGAATTAACGAAACAAACAAACATTTTATGGTCTTTTATTTCCTTCACACCGCATTTTCCTTTAGTTTAGCGCTGTAACCTATTAAGTTATATCTTTTAATTTATACATGTGAACTGTTTTCAATGAGCATTTTTTCATGTGGTTGCCCCTCTGTTGGTAATAGTAAACCTCCGAGTGTATTCTGTCATGGAAACAGCTTCTCATAAAAATACATTGGAGTTCGGAGTCGGCGTAAAAGTGTCATTTACTTTGTGTGACAAAATCACGCACGCCACATATGGGAGGAGAAGCTAGGCCAAACACTAACCTAACATATTGTGTAAGTGCCAATATGTATATCGTCGTTTAAAATACAAAGATAATTAAGTTTAAAAGAGAACCATTTTTAATTAGGACAAGTTTCACTCTCCTATAAAATTTAGGCAACCTCACATACGAGGTTTTGCATTTCCTTGATGCGCGGTTTTGTACTTTAAACTAGAGCTCTCGATTTTGTTCGCACATTTTCAAACAGCCCGGGTATATGAGCAGCGAGTACTCGCACACTGGTTCAATGCTCATTACTCGAAAATTTTCGAGCATGAGCTCGAGCAATTCGAGTAATTTGAGCAATGTTTTTTTATTATATTGACATTTTTGGTAGCAACTTTTTAAATATTTCAAATCTATACTAATTATATAAAGAGAAGTCCCTTTTTTTTTGTAACAGGTAATCTCGCGAACGGCTGGTCCGATTTTCATGAAATTTTGTATACAAATAGCTTTCGGTAACCACCATGTTTTAGGCTAAAAAAGTTTTACTTTTTTTCGGGTAGGTGGACCAGGGATCGGTCTATTCGAAAAAATCTTATTATAGTCCGATTTGCTTAAAATTTAGTATGTAAGTAGCTTTTTAGCATATATTAGCATATTTGACCCATTTTTTCCGGGAAGTGGTCCAGGGACCGATCGAATTTACGGTCTGATTTGCTTAAAATTCGGTGCG